TCACGACTTGGACTCTATTATATAGCACTGTTATAAACCTGTCAAAATTAATACATACCCAACAAAAGCCTCACTCACGACCTGGGAGAGATGAGCCTTAAAACGCCTTAATCACCGTCCCTTGTACAGCTCACGCGACCCTAAACTACAGGAATGAATATACTGCCAGGTGAGCCAGCCCAATTGGTGGTGCAGCCCGCCAGGTGGACCAGCCTGCCAGGTGGACCAGCCCGTCAGGTGGACCAGCCCAACTGGTGGTGCAGCCCGCCAGGTGGACCAGCCTGCCAGGTGGACCAGCCCGCCAGGTGGACCAGCCCGTCAGGTGGACCAGCCCGCCAGGTGGACCAGCCCGTCAGGTGGACCAGCCCGCCAGGTGGACCAGCCCGTCAGGTGGACCAGCCAGCCAGGTGGATCTCCACGTCAGATGGACCAATACGCCAGGTGGACAAGCCCGCCAGGTGATTTACCATGCCTGATGGACCGGCAGGCCAGGTGGACCAACCCGCTAGGCTGACTCCCCCATCTAGGTGGACCAGCTTGTTAGGTTGATCAGCCATCTAGATGGACCAGCCCACCAAGTGGACCAGCCCACCAAGTGGACCAGCCATCCGAGTGTACCAGCAGGCTTGGTGGACCAGCCCGCCAAGCCAGTGTAATGCAATCAATCTTGTCATATGTATGATGAATGAAACCCGAGGTCCTGGAGAGGAACCCGGGAAATGAAAAATGGGTCATGGGGAAGAATACGGCTGATTGAATGCTCCAGAAGCGGGAATCCGAGGACAAGAGAGATCCCATTAGGACCTAACTTTGTTTTTGTGTGAATTGGCGGGATCCCATCCTAGAATCTAGTCACATTTTTACTTTTAATTTCAGAGAAATGTTCTATAATACGAAATTATCGTTGAATTCTTTGCCGAAGACCCGTTTTTATTCATTAATATTAGATATCTCTAAAAAAATTATAATCCCTTTGGTTTAGAAATATGTGACACTATTGAAGCTTAGACAACAGAAAAGTATTCATAAGGCGAAAAAATGAAGAGAAACACGAGAGAAGTGTGAAGAGAAACAGGCGAGGAGGAGAAGAAGGGGAGGACAAGAGGGGGGGGGGGCAAGAAGTGGAGAGCAAGAGAGGTTTAGAAATAAAGTGGAGAGAGAGGAGAAAAAGAAGGGAATGTGAACTGGCCTGCTCCTATTTGTGATGGTATCTTCAGGGGATCCCCACGATTGTTGCTGACGCTGGCCGCGGCACTCCTGTGTGGAGAAGATTTCTGTCGGTCTTCTGTCCGCCAGAGGTACTCGTGCAGGCGTGGAACAGAATAGCCGGCAGTATATAAATAACGATTATATCCTGTTCGCCAGGCTAAAGTAGAGGAGAGGAAGGCGCGCCTTCACGTATCATTCACGCTCTATCTCGCAAAATATTTTGAGTAATTAAATAGAACCGTGAAACAGTAATAGGATCTGAATCAGATGTAATGATATAAATCAAAAGTAATTTTGATTGTGAACAGTAATGACAAACAAAGGCTGAATAGAACATTAGCAAAAACAAAAGAAATACTGACTATGTTGCCACCAAACAAAAATCCTTGAACAATCGACTTGAGAATGGTCCAGGACGGACCGAAACGTCGTCGTCCCTTCAACTTCTAGTGTGTGGTCTGGTCAACAAAAATCTTTGAAATTCAGAGTGAAAAATTGAGCATCAATTGCATGCATACCGGTGGCCGGCAGTGGTGGATGACCTCTCCTCGCACCTCTACCAAACATCTCGTTGCCATGACGATAATTTCCTTATCTGAGAAATAACATCGTGACCATCCTTCCTTCCACTTCTCCCCAGCCCCTTCCCCAACCCCCCAACCCCTCCCCTTCCCTTCCCCTTCCCTTCACCTTCCCCATTCCCCCGACAGGTCGCTCCCGGGCCTCCAGATTATACAATGCACGCTGATAACATGAAATTATGGCAGATAAAGTGAGTAGCGCTAAAGCTGCCTGCTAGACAAGAGGGAGGAGGAGGAGGAGGGGGATGTTTTGCCGAAGCCGATGAACGAGCCGTGGAAGCCCCCCCCCCTCCCCTCCCCCCCTCTATCCCCCCCATCCTTCCTATCCCCCCCCTCCTCACACTGATGGTGAGAGGCGATTGTTGCCAGATGGATGATCACGAATGCAGCGCCTCCGAAAACAACAGTTTTCAATGGTTTTTAATGAATTTTATATTTTTTTAAGTACCACCCAATTTTTATTTTTTATTTTTTTTATTGGGACTAAGGACAAGGTTATGTCGATCCCTTATTATTATTATTATTATTATTATTATTATTATTATTATTATTATTATTAATTATCATTATAATTATTAATTATTATTATTAATTATATTGTTAATGCAGATATTGTTGTTTCTGTTCAGTAATTTTCCGATTATCAGTGATATTTTTTCCTGATAACTTACGGGAAATAAACGGAACAAGCTATTTTTTTAACATTTTTGAATAATACTTCGAGACACTACACAAAACGTCTGAAAAATTTATATATAAAGCCTAGGGAAGAAGCCCACACAAAGCATTGGAGATCTTCAAGGAGTGTCTATCTGATTGTCCAGGATTGGAGACCAGACGTTTGGGTCTAGCCTCAATAAACTTTGCAGGGTTAAAATGGATTTTATGGGGGAGTGTCGAAGGGGTGAGGATTGGTCGCGTCGGCTCCAACGCCTTCCTTGAAAGGGAGTCGGACCCCCATTCGCGCTTCATGGAGTCGGTGGTTATGAAATGTGTCACTCAAAGTCCGTAGAGTTTAATATTTTTCAGTATTAGTGTACCTATGCAAATAATACTTTTCAGTATTAGTGTATCTATGAGGTACCTGGAGGTTTGCAAATATATTATTCACTCTCGTGTTATTGAGGATATCCTCATAATGCACCCAAAATTTGCCAGTGCAGGCTACTGAACGTATGGCCCTGTATGGCTAACCATTTAGCGAAGTGGGGACATTTAGTATCACTGCTACCTTATTCACTCTTGTGTTCTTGAAGATATCCTCATAATGCATCTCAGAGTTAGCCAGTGTAGACTACTTATCACATGCCTCTGTATGACTAACCATCCTGTGTGATGGGGATTTTAGCATCAGGTAGCTAGCTTTGTGACACACACTGTCCTCCCCTTTCATATAGTCTATGACAGCTGCAGAAATGCAGATGTACCTACACGTGTTAATAAAAAAAATATAATAAAAAGTGTACCTATGTCCAAATGGCAGATTTGCATTCTGGGTGCAATCTGTCTGTTACAGTGATGGAGATAATGTGTGTAGGAAAAATGGTTAAAGTGATCGGTAGGGACAGTGAAAAAGTATGTAGGGAGGGATGTTATGGAGGGTGTGTGTGAGAAGGGGGTTTGGGGAGGGTTGAAACAGTGATGAGATGATGAGGGGAGTAGAGGGAGGGAATGTGGGGGGGGGGGGGAGATATGGGAGGGTGTGTGGTTGGATATAGGGAAGGAGTGTCCGAGAAATACGGAGAGGGCGTGTATATGTGGGGCAGACAGAGAGGGGGTGAAAAAAGTGGACGTCGTGAGAGGGTGTGTGAGGAGATAGGGAGAATATGTCGGGAGATGATGGAGAAGGTGTTAAGAGGCTTCCGGTGAAGATAGTTTGTACTGAAGATAGTTACAGTGATGAGGGGAAACAGGGAGGATGTGTGTGTGTGTGTACTCACCTAGTTGTACTCACCTAGTTGTGTTTGCGGGGGTTGAGCTCTGGCTCTTTGGTCCCGCCTCTCAACCGTCAATCAACAGGTGTACAGATTCCTGAGCCTATCGGGCTCTGTCATATCTACACTTGAAACTGTGTATGGAGTCAGCCTCCACCACATCACCCCCTAATGCATTCCATTTGTCAACCACTCTGACACTAAAAAAGTTCTTTCTAATGTCTCTGTGGCTCATTTGGGCACTCAGTTTCCACCTGTGTCCCCTTGTGCGTGTTCCCCTTGTGTTAAATAGACTGTCTTTATCTACCCTATCAATCCCCTTCAGAATCTTGAATGTGGTGATCATGTCCCCCCTAACTCTTCTGTCTTCCAGCGAAGTGAGGTTTAATTCCCGTAGTCTCTCCTCGTAGCTCATACCTCTCAGCTCGGGTACTAGTCTGGTGGCAAACCTTTGAACCTTTTCCAGTTTAGTCTTATCCTTGACTAGATATGGACTCCATGCTGGGGCTGCATACTCCAGGATTGGCCTGACATATGTGGTATACAAAGTTCTGAATGATTCTTTACACAAGTTTCTGAATGCCGTTCGTATGTTGGCCAGCCTGGCATATGCCGCTGATGTTATCCGCTTGATATGTGCTGCAGGAGACAGGTCTGGCGTGATATCAACCCCCAAGTCTTTTTCCTTCTCTGACTCCTGAAGAATTTCCTCTCCCAGATGATACCTTGTATCTGGCCTCCTGCTCCCTACACCTATCTTCATTACATTACATTTGGTTGGGTTAAACTCTAACAACCATTTGTTCGACCATTCCTTCAGCTTGTCTAGGTCTTCTTGAAGCCTCAAACAGTCCTCTTCTGTTTTAATCCTTCTCATAATTTTAGCATCGTCCGCAAACATTGTGTGTGTGTGTGTGTGTGTGTGTGTGTGTGTGTGTGTGTGTGTGTGTGTGTGTGTGTGTGTGTGTGTGTGTGTGTGTGTGTAGCGAGACAAGAATTGTGTGTGTAAAGAAAGATGAGAAGGATGTGTGAGGGAGACTAAACATCATATATGTGGAAGCCATAAGGTGGCCGCGGGTGACAGTTTGATTAGTACATCGCTACGACTTTCTAGTGATCAAGACATTTGCGATTTCTCGGATTAATTTCAAGGTGCAAAGCAGTGCTCGCTGGATTGGGTGATGCAGTTTTGTTTTCCTGACCTAAAGTTGCACCAAGCAGGAAAAAAATGAAAAAAGGTTTATTATACAGGTATAGGGAATGTAAATCAACTTACCTCGACATATTCGGCGCAGAGTTCTATACTTCCCACGAAGGAACATACGTCATCGACGGTCCAGTGGCCGATAGTCTCTAGTGTAGGGCAGTTCTTGTCTGAGCATGGCGTGGGTGGCTTATGCGTCCCAGGGGAGGGCGTGGGCCGTGGCTTAGGAGGCGTGGGGGATCGTGTGGTGTGTGCCTTGGTCTCCAGCTTCTTCTCCTCCTCGTGCTGAAGACCAAACAACGTCTTCACGTCAAAGGATTTAGAGGGTTCCGTTCGGGGTCTCTTGGTAGTCATGGTGGCAGAGAGATCGAGAGGAGAGGTTGGGGCGTCTGCTGGTCGCTTCATGGCTCCCCGCAAGTAGTTCTCAAGCTGCGACTGTTGCGTCGCGGAGGCATTGCGTACCATGTTGAGAAGGACTTGAGACGAAGACATGTCTACCAGGGGAAAGCCAGGGAACCCGGGGATTCCTGCGGCACCGGGGAACATGGGAGGCGCCCCTGGGTGAGGCAACTGCGAGATACCGGCGGCTGTTGATACAGGTACAGCGTCGATCTTCTTATCTACGTCCTTAATCGAAGTCGATGTGGTAGGTTGGGTAGGGACGCCAAGAAAGGGCGCCGATCCGTGCTTGAAGCCTGCCAGGCCGCCCAGTGGGTGACGTAGGAACCCGTTGTTTGGACTGCTGAAGTAACTGCGGGGAAGAAAGAGAGAGAGAGACCCATTAGCCACGCTCGGTTGGTAAGACGTTTCCATTACATTACCTACATCAGACACCATTAGCGGGTGGTCACCCAGTACAATGAGGAGGTCAGGCGCAGGTCAAAGGATAGGGAGAAGGGAAAGAGAAGGCAGGTCAGGGAACGAGACAAGAAACATTAGGGATTGAGGAGAGGCAAGGAACGAGGAGAGATAGAACGTGGTCAACAGTGAGAGTAAATTTGGCCAAGTGTTATTGGTGTGAGGACAAGCTGGGGGCACGTGCTTTTCGGTACAAGGTGAGCCACTTTCCGCAGGAATCAGGGAGGGCCATTTACTGAGGCTCTAAAGATTTCCAACTTATAACTGAAGCAACTGGGCCACGTGCTGAGAGGACCAAGGTGTGCCACGTGCTGAGGAAAGCGTGATTGACCTGAAGAAATACAGGTGAGGGGAAAAAACTTGCTGGGGCAAGCAGAATAGATTGTTTGGAAAATCGAGCACTATATTAGAAAGCATTGGTGTAAATTTTAAGAAATAATATTGACGTTGCGGCTAGTTTTCACCCGTCCCTCTGGGAAACCGAATGTACACAAACACCTTTGTGAACATCCACACCTCGTACGCATACTCCATGTATACAAACACCTCAGTATACATCGACTTCACCGTGATATAATTCCCAGCACAGCACCACACTTCCACCAGGTACAGCTTAAACAGAAACCAAAGTACCACGCTTAAGCACCATTACTACAAAAAAATATGAAAAAAATGAAAAAAAGAAAATAGACAGACAATATAATGCTCTCGAATAATAATAATAAAACAATGTCATGTAACATAAGAAGACATGAACAATTGCAGAAGGCTTATTGGCCCATACGAAGTACTTGCTATTTATATCCACCTAACCTCATTCATAAATATGTGTAACCTACACTTAAAACAATCTAAATAATGTACATCTATTATGTTACTAGGTAATATGTTCTATAAATCAACATCCCTGTTTCCAAATCAACATTACGTGAGACCACTCACATAAATACAATAGCATAGTGCTCAATATCACTCCTATCGTGACTTTCAGTGCACAATACATTCATCCCTCACGCCCGTAAGCCTAACAAAATGTCAACACATAAAAGCTCATTTAGGTATTAAATATTGACCCCAAAAACAGAGGTTCACTTGGGGGAAAAAAAATATTGTCCAAAAGGGGTAGCAAATTCTGTTAAAGAATCTCAATGAAAGCAACAAAAGTTGATCATGGAAACGAGATAATAAAAATAATGTGGTTGACGCGGGAGATTTGTAGTTATATATGGATCATATGTATGATGTAGAACACATATTTTAGACTTAGAACACATCTGGGATGTGGAACACATGTGTGATGTAGAACACGTGCGTTGCAGAGCAATTTCTCTCTCTCTCTCTCTCTCTCTCCTCTCTCTCTCTCTCTCTCTCTCTCTCTCTCTCTCTCTCTCTCTCTCTCTCTCTCTCTCTCTCTCTGTCTCTCTGTACTAACATAACATAAGCTGCAACGATAAAGGACCAAACAAGGACTCGCAAGTTATACACTTCACATTGAGATACAAAAATAATATGAGGAAAATTACGCAGGATTGGTATCTAAGCATTGAAGTCTCCAGAACTCTGAGTAATACATTATCATTAGTGTCTGTATGTATGTGTGAATGTGTGAGTGTGTGTGTGTGTGTGTGAGTGTGTGTGTGTGAGTGTGTGTGTGTGTGTGTGTGTGTGTGTGTGTGTGTGTGTGTGTGTGTGTGTGTGTGTGTGTGTGTGTGTGTGTGTGTGTGTGTTTACTGTGAAGACAACGACGTGCAAGTTAGCGAAGGGGGCGAGGCTTGGCGAGGCACCTTGGTCCTCCTCCGCGCACGCCCATACTAAAGCCTCCATTATACAACATAGGCATTAATGTCCACCCGTCTCCCTCGCTGCTTATCTTGTCTAATCTCTCTGCAAAATTATCTTTCGCTGCATTACAGTATGAGATTCGCATCACCCTTCCGCCCTTATAAAAGGTTCCCCCCCCCTCACCCTTGAACTTGCAGGGGGTTGGAATCCTTTATGCATTGTAGTGCATAAGGAGGCCTGGTCAGAGACCGGGTCGCAGGGACCTTGAGCCCCGGAGTCAAAGCAACGCAAGGTAGTGTCTCACTGACAAACAAATAAACTAATGTAAACAAAACACACACACACACACACACACACACACACACACACACACACACACACACACACACACACACACACACACACACACACACACACACACACACACACACACACACACACACACACACACACATCGGGATCCAAGAGTCAATGCTCGATCCTGCAGGCACAAATAGTTGAGAACAAATAGGTGAGCACATGCGCACACACACACACTGGTAGCTGTGTGTCTGGTAGCTGAGTGGACAGCGCGTAGGACTCGTAATTCTGTGGCTCGCGTTCGATTCCCAGACCACGCAGAAACAAATGGGCAAAGATTCTTTCACTCTGAATGCTCCTGTTACCTAGCAGTAAATAGGTACCTGAGAGTTAGACAGCTGTTACGGAGCTGCTTCCTGGTGTGTGTGTGTGTGTGTGTGTGTGTGTGTGTGTGTGTGTGTGTGTGTGTGTGTGTGTGTGTGTGTGTGTGTGTGTGTGTGTGTGTGTGTGCGTGTGTGTGTGTGTGTGTGTTTAAAATTAGTTAGTAGTTAGTAACAGTTGATTAACAGTTGAGAGGCGGGCCGAAAGAGCAAAGCTCAACCCCCGCAAGCACAACTAGGTGAGTACAACTAGGTGAGTACATAAAATGTTCTATTTGTTATCCAGAGTTCAGGAGATTTCAATGCTTAGATACCAATCCTGCGTAATTTTCAAACATTACCAGTCCTTGTCTGGTCGTTTATAAATGCAGCTTAGGTTAGTGCAAATATATACGAGAGAGAGAGAGAGAGAGAGAGAGAGAGAGAGAGACAGACAGACAGACAGACAGACAGACAGACAGACAGACAGACAGACAGACAGACAAAGTTAGAGCCAGACAAACATAGATAACGAGCCTAAACGAGTTACAGTAACACATTGTACGACCTCTAAATGCCATTTGAGGTTGCAGGTTACGACCAAGCATCAGAGCAGTGCATGAAGAGACTGTTTCTTTCTCACTCCTTTCTCATTTTCCATAGGAAGATGGGCAGCCGTATATCCGGACTCTTCTTCCTGGGAAAATAGCCAGCTTTTTCTTCATCTTCTTCTAGGAATAATAGCCAGCTGTGTCTCAGCACTTTATTATATATAAATCCTTTATAATCACAATGAACAAAGAGTTATTTTATTCATTTTTATTAAATAAAAGGCGACTGCGCTTTATTTCACTCTTTGAAATAATAGTCATTTTTTCCTTAGTCATCTCTCAGGGATGATACCCAACTGTAGCGGCCAGCCACATCAATGTGGAAAAATAACCGGCTTTGTTTCAGTTCTATCCCTCATATAATAGCCAGCCTAGTCTTAGTTCTATCCCTGGGATAATAGCCAGATGTGTATCTATCCTATTCCTGGGTTAATAGCTAGCCTTATCTCAGTCTTACCCAAGGGATAATAGCTAGCTGTGCTTCGGTCCTATTCCTGCCATAATTGGCAGTTGCTTATCAGTCCTCTCCTTGGGGAAAAATACAGAGCCGTGCCTCCTTATACAGATAAGGAGATAATCTCATATTGTAATGTAGTGAAAGATAAGTTTAGGAATGTCTCCTTATATCCACTCCTTAAGGTGGATATTCTGGAGAGCCTCTATATTATTCACGCCACTCATTATTAACTAGTAACTCATTACTCATTATAATAATGAGTAATGAGTTACTCATTATTAACTAAAAATCCCATAATACTCACTAACACGAGTTACCAACGAGCTCCTAGAAGCACCAATAGAGTGACTCACACGCTGATTCACACAACAAACTGAATTCATCGTCATTTTTTTCAGTGCAATAATGCTTCTCAATGAGTAGGACAAAACGGGGTTACGCGCAGTGGGAGATGCTGTTCTGGAGCACGAACATCCTCCTCCTCGTTTGGGGGTCAGGAAGCCACACCCTAATTCCCTATTCGCCGAAGAACAATAAGAGTTCGAAGGTTTTAAAATCCCTAAACACAATGGTCTATAAAGAGAAGCAGGGCATAAATCCTCCCTGGCCCTGGGCACAGGGGGGGTAGGGAGGCATGAAGGGCACCGACAGCTCTTCTCCGAGCAGCGGGCATCCTCACCTCCGACCCCAGGTGGAGTTGTTAGCGCCGGGGCGCCTCTCACAGAGCGTCATCGCCACGTGGGGGATGGAACACGTCCACCTTCTGCAGTCACTGGGGGAGAGGGAGAGAGAGAGGGGAAGGGGTGTGTGTGAGTGGTTGGTGGGTGAAAGGAGGGTAGAGAGGGGGGGTCGCCCTTCCTCATCCACCTCTACCCCCTCACTCTCACAAATACAAATAATATATCTCTAGCCATGAGATGCAATGCTCGCTATTTTAGCTTTGCCGAATCGTTTAGATACGCTTGTGTCTTCACAGAAGCTTGATGAAGAATTTAAGAGGCAAGTTTGATTTCCAGGAGAAATATGTTAGCAAAGCGAGGGACGTAAAAGACCAGATGGGCGTTTACTATTAGCAGATGTACAAGTGTTGGCGTTGGGAATCTTGGCATCAAGATGTCTTAACGACTGGCCTCGGTCACGATCGAGCCATCGAGACCAATATCTTATCCAGGGTTATCGGGGGGAGCATTCGGAGGCGCTGCAAGAGTGGGTATAGGACAGGCGGTGGGCGTGTGGTGGGTGGGCGTGTGGGGGTGGGCGTGTGGCATGTTATCATGAGTACTGGTGACTATGCTTTCCTAAGTTCATGTCAGTCTGTTGCTCTTGCTGCATGCTGGTGACTATTCAAGCCTCAGCTCATGTCAGTATGCTGTTGCTGTGCTCT